GCACCCGCATTTCTGGTTTTCATGGTACTCACAAATGAGGTGATCCTAAATGTCACAACAGAACTGGTGGGGATCCTGAGGTTTTGTACTTCTGACAAGATTCAAGGTGACTGATGTTTCTGGCCTTCAGATCATAATTTGAGGTGCAAGACTGCAGTGTGGTAAAACAGCTTGGAAGGAATGTGAAGTGCAGAGCTGAAGCCCGTGGTGGCTGAGATATGGGCCCTAAACTGCTAAGTGTGAGGTGCATCTGTAGGTTCCATAAGCTTCAGTATTTGGAGTTATTGTTGTCACAGCAATTTAGCCTTACCTCAGTGAAAGATGTGAGCTAGAGGAAGCCGCCTGTGAGGTGTACAGTGAAAACAGCTCCAGGCAGAGTCAGCCTCCCTTCTCCTGCAATGCCAGAGGGTACTCATGGAATAGTGTTTCAGTTCTATGGTTTTAGAGACTGAGTTTGAACCATAGGAAAAAGGTCCCTTAGACCTCACAGTGCAAGGGTTGTACTTTGAGTCAGGAATAGGGGTGGAGAGACCAGTGTATCAATTGCCAGGACTCCAGGGGTTCCTCTTCCCAAAGACAAAATGAGGTGGTAGCTAAAGGGTATAAGGCCTGGGAGCCGAGAAGAGGGATGACAGCACTGTCTTAATTAGAGTTTCTGCTGCTGTGAACAGACACCAATAACTTGACAACTATTATAAAGGAAAACATTTAATTGGTGCTAACTTACAGTTTCAGAGGTTCAGTTTATTATCATCATGGTGGAGAGCATGGCAGTGCACAGGCAGACATGGTGCTGGAGAAGGAGCTGAGAGTTCTACATCTTGATCTGCAGGTAGCAGGAAAAGCACTGTGTGTAAGTAAATTGTTTGCAACTCTGTGGGTTTGGTCCTGGGTTTCAGCACCAACAATTAAGTAAATTGGTTGCAACAAGTCTGGGTTTGGTCCCGGATTTTGGCACCAAAACATGAGTTTTGCAACTCTGGGAAAGGTGTCCTGACTACCTGGGAGTCAGGCAACACCTTGAGATGCTTAGGATAGCTCTGATGGCTGAAATGCAAGAAGACAGTTCAGCCCTGGAGGGCAAGGTATCCTGGACACCTCGAGTTGCTCAGAACAACAGCTCTGCCCTGAAGGTGTCCTGTTTAGCACAGCTGTGACAGCTGGAACTGCTTCAGCAGAGAAAGGTATCCTGACTGTTCGGGAAAGTCAGACTGTACCTGGTGTGATGGGGATGGTCTCCTCGCAGGATATAGCAATCCTGCTCCTCTCCTGGAGAGATGCTACAGCTGAGCTTTGCTCAGCACCCACTTAAGGGGGCTTCCCAGCAGAGCTCTGCTTCTCTGGCCTAAGAAATTGCAGAAATGTAACAATCCCCTCAGGCTCAGGAGAAAAGTGTTACTTTTCAGCTCTCTCTTGCTCTGTCCACTGAGGGACGTCTCAGCAAAGATCTTCTGTTCAGCTCCCCCTTGCTCAATCCACTATGGGATGTCCCAGCAAGGTTCTTCTGTGCATCAGTGAATGAAGATTTTGAGAAAGAGATTTATTTGGAAAGGAGGAATCCAGGAGAGTAGCTGTTTTTTTTCTAACTGACCAGGCAGTTAGCTGGGGTTCTAACAGCCTTCCTGGGAAGTTGCCCCCAACAGGGCACTGCCAGGGAGGGGCAGGGAGAACCAGCCATGGAAAGAAAAGTAAGATACGTACTACTGAATCCCTTGGCAATCTAGCTGGGCTGCCACTGAACCTGTGGGAAGCAGACTTGGATTTTGTTAGTCCTAAAACTCTCTGGGGTGAGGGGTACCGGGGGTCCCAGAAACACCAGCTGGAAAGAAGCCAAGTGTACAGAAGCAGGGGTCTTATTTCGGGCTTGCCTTGGCAGCGCCCTCTTCTGGCAGAGAAGACAAATCACAGGAGGGCACGGGGGCTCAGAGTGGAATTGAGTACTCTTCAGGGGAGGAGATGGGTGAAGTTATATTTTCAGAGGAAAGACAACTGAAAAGAATAAATGAGCTGGGCATAGTGGCACAAGCCTTTAGTCTCAGCACTTGAGAGGCAGAAGCGGCAGATCTCTGTAAATTTGAGGACAGCCTGGTTTACATAGTGAGTTCCAGGACAGTCAGGACTGCATAGTGAGACCCTGTTAGAGAAAAACCAAACACTGAAAGAATAAAGGAAATGTGAACATAGAGTAGAGTAGTTCCCAACAGAACATCTCCAGTTCCTGTGAGGAGGTTCCAACAGAGGTGAGGGAGAGGGGATAAGCTCTGTCTCAGAGTTAGGACAAAAGGAGTTGGGGGCAGAATAAATGAGATTGGGGAGACAGTGGTGGCAGGGTGGCTCTGTGACCATGCTCAAAGCACTGGCCTTGAGGGTAGTGTGGCCATGGACTTGACTCCCAGAGAGTGTAGTACTGAGGAGGCAGGTCCGTGGTCAGATTCCTACAGCAGAGAGGCCCCAAGTCGGGTTCTAGATTTTCATGAAATGCAAGAAAAGAGAACAAAAGATCAGAGAAAGGATGAGCTGTGAGACTGAATAAAGCAAGCCTTCCAAGGCTTTATAAATATGAGAGACATTAAAGTCTGCACCGTGTGGGAGAGGGTGGTTCAGTGGGTAGCACTTGTCTGAGAAGCATGAGGACTAGAGTTTGCATTCCCAGGGCCCACATAAAAGCTGGGCAGGTGTGGTAGCTGCCTCTAACCCCAGTGCCCAGGGAGCAAGGACAGAGAGCCAGCAGGAGAAGGCAAGCTGCAGCTTCAGAGAGAACTGCCTCAGTAAACAGAAGTGCAAGCGACTGAGGAAGATACCCATGCCGGTTAGTTGTTGTCAACTGTACACAAACTAGAGCCAGGAAACAGTGCTCCACTGTGGTCTCTGTTTCAGTGACGGCCTCTAGGTTCTTGCCTCTGTTTCCTTTGGTGACAGACTGTAACCTATAAGCCTGGTAAACCCTTTCCCCCACAACTGGTTAAAGTATTTATCACAGCAACAGAGAAACAAAGTAGGACAACAGCCAACATCAACCAAGAGTCTTCTGTACCTCCACACACTTGCAAGCATGAACATACACATGTCATAGGGTCACCATTGCTGTGATGAAACATCATGACCAAAAGCAATTTGGGGAGAAAAGGGTTTATTTGACTTACACTTATAATCATAGTCCATCATTGAAGGAAGTCAGGACAGGAACTCAAACAAGATGGGGACCTGGATGCAGGAGATGATGCAGAGGCCATGGAGGGGTGCTGCTTACCGGCTTGCTCATCATGGCTTGCTCAGCCTGCTTCCTTATAGAACCCAGCACCACCAGCTGATGGATGGCATCATCTGCATGGGCTGGGCCCTCTCCTATAAACCACTAATTAAGAAAATACCCTACAGCTAGATATTTTTAATTTGTGTGGGGGTTTTTTTGTCTGTGTATATATAAATTTGTTTTTACAATCAAATCAAAGTTTCCCCTCTCTCCCCTCTTCCCAGTTCCTACACCCCCCGCCCCCGCATCCACTCCCCCACTGTTTCTCATCAGATACAGGCAGGCATCCCTAGATATCAGTAAGCCATGATATATCAAGTTGCAGCGAGATTAGGCACCTCCTCTTCTGTTATGGCTGGATTCCAAAGCAGGCAACACAGTCAGAGACAGCCCCTGCTCTCACTGTTAGGAGTCTCATATGAAGACCAAGTTACACAGCCTCCTGCAGGATCTTTTGGAGACATTTTCTCCATTGAGATTTCCTTCTCTCTGATGACTCTAGTTTGTGTCAAATTGACATCAGACCAGCCAGCACAGTACACTCCCACACACCATACTCATATAAAACGTTTTTAAACAGTCTGGTGTGCTGGCACATGCCTGTAATCCCAGAACTTGGGAGCCTGAGGCAGTAGGATCTCTTGTGTTCAAGACTAGCTTGAGTAACAGTGTGAGACCCTGTCTCAACAACCACCACCTCTCAGCATGTGACAAGTAGAACATGTGGACAGAGAAGTCTGTTCACTAGTTTGGAAAGGCCAGGTCATCTATTTCTTAGAGGTGCAATATGAGAAAAGCATTCAGAATTCCTATCTAAGGAGGAAAGTGCCCAGACTCCTGAGGAGTGTGTAGGTTGTACAGCCAGAATAGGCTTAGAAGGACAGTGGCTTTTCCCCAGAACAAGGATGTCAAAGGCCACACAAACGGGCTGCATCTTGGTGTTGATGCTGTGTCTGTATCCCCAGACACAGTTTTCCCTGTGATATTTCTCTGGACTCAATGTAAGTCAAGCAGAGGTGTGCTGGCTGGGTTTGTGTCAACTGGACACAAGAGGGTCATTGGAGAAGAGGGAGCCTCAATTAAAAATGTGTCTATAAGATCTGGCTGTAGGCATTTTCTTAGTGATTGATGGAGGAGGGCCCAGCCATTGTGGGTGGTGCCATCCCTGGGATGGTGGTCCTGGGTTCTATGAGGAAGCCAGCTGAACAAGCCATGAGGTGCAAACCAGTAAGCAGCACCTCTCCATGACCTCTGCATCAGCTCCTGACACAAGGTTCCGGCTCTGTTTGAGTTCTTGCCCTGACTTCCTTCAGTGATGTGGAAGTGTAAGCCAAACAAACTGTTCCTTCTCTAAGTTGCTTTGGCCATAGTATTTTCTCACAGAAATAGTGACCTAAGACGAGAGGAAACTACTTGGGAATATTTCTTAGGATGGAGAAGTTGTGCGATACTGGATTTGTCTCGGTGCTGCTGAGGAGTGAGCAAGATCAGGCGATAGCTGCAGGGCAAGTCCTCCTATGGTTGTGTACCTGGTCCCCAGAGACAGGGAGCACAAGGCTGTGGTATGAGAACAGGTGACTGGACATGGTTGACAGGGAGTAAGGGCCTGGACATGGAAAGGCCTGAAAATAACAACATACCCATAGCACAGGAGCCCAGAGAAGGGATCATGCCAGATTCTGTGAGATTGGTGTCTGCCCTGTGTGAACCCAGAAATGTCCTTCAATGACAGATACTCAGGCTCAGCTCCACTTCCATGTTAGTGTTTATTACCCTCTTTTCAAGCATATAGTTACTACTCCAAGAATAACACAGTTTTGAAACTCTTGGTCCATATTCATGTGAGATAACTATTGTGTGTTCCCAAGCAACTCCAGTGTTCATGAGAAAGAAGAACCCCAGACCCTGTCCTCAGGGCCCACATCACAGCCTCCTGGAGCAATAAAGAGGATGCTCAGTATTTGTCAGGCAGTCCTTTAGGTCTGTAGTGATTGGGGTCCTTGCCACTGCGGCCCCATCTGTTTGCTTCCTGGTCAGCCATAGAGTCCTCGTGTCCACGGCCTATGAAACTCTGAAAGCCCTCTCTTGCATCACTAGGAGAAGCAGAGATGGGAGAGATCCATCACCAAGCTGCATGGCCACAGTCCACGGTCTGAGTTTTCCCCCTTTGCATGGGATGGCTTTAGGAGGAACCCAGGAAGGGCCAGGCAGGAGGTCAGCCCAGACTGGTCACCCCACACTAGCTGAACATCACCAGAAACACTGGTGATGATGAGAGTCATTCCCTGTCTACATTTGGGAGCAGGCTCACATAGCATGGCTGTGTGCTGAATGCCCAAACCCAGGGTCTACACTGGGTGTAGATGGAGCCAGTACCTGGATAAGCAAGAGTAGGAGGGATCTGAGATTAGCATGACCCTCTCCAGAGCTAATCTACTTCTTCCCCCAGAAGTGTCAAGGCCTGCTACCCAGGTCCAGTCTTCCAATCAATCTATGTTTACCTGATGACTTCAGCAGCCCAGACTCCTCCTGGTCCCCTTTGGGCTGCATCATAGTTCCCTCTAGCATGGAAATATTTGTCTGAGTTTTTCCAGTTGGCCTCCTTCATGTCAGAGTAGGCTCGCCACATATCCCCAGCCCCTAGATGGGAAAGACAGCAAGATCATGAACCTAAAAGCTCTGCCCATGCCTTAGAGAGGAAGAAAGGGATGAAAAGAGCTCGTGGCTTGAGCCTGTGGTCAGAGCAGCTGAGAGCGTGAATGGAAGATCATCTCCTGATCCTCACTGTCGTCTCCTAGTAACTCAGGAGGGCCATTGGGGGGCCCAGCTGCCCTGTGTTCGCCTTTCTTCTACAGTGCTGCTGTGAGCTGCCCCTCACCTGGGTGGGAAGCAGCCAATGAGGCAGCACAGTGTCATTACACATAGCAGGGTGTGTCAGCTTCAGTATCGTGGAAGTGTTTGCTACAGAGTCGTCAGTTTCTGCCACCGGACCTCAAAGCACATTTCCTTAGTAGTGCAACCTAGTGTCTCTACAGCCATTGAAAATGCCCTGCGAGCACACCACCTCCAAGCAAGGGCCAGTGTTTCTGGAGGCAGCTACCCTCAGCTAGGAAGTCCCATCCTGAGGTGACTTAGTACACAGAAGGCAGAGGGGGGCTGCATACAGGGAGCATCGACTTTGATCCCTAAGAATTCTGTCCTGACAGAGAGCATGTGCACCACAGTGACACTGTCATCTCTGCCCTTGGGCTAGACTGCACAGGTTCTGTGCTGTCTTGGGGGAGCTTTGAAGCAATGATCTCAGCTGTAGCTGCAGGTTCTGATCCTCTGAGGAGACACTGAGAGTCACCATGCCAGGCTACACCCAAGGCCAATCTTGAGTCTCTAGGTGCAGGGGGATGACTGGTCAAGACCTGGGTGGTATTCCAACTCTCTAGGTGATGCCATTGTTACCTTATATTGGTCACAAATGAATTTAGAAAGTGTCCGGCAGACTGACAGACAGGATTGTCCTCAAGCACAGCTAGGTTGTGATCTCTGCTCTGCCCCCTGCTGTATGCAGTGCATTTCAGGAAGTCTTGCCAGAGTCCCTGGTCCATCCTGACAAGCAGGACAGTGAGTTCAGATCTTCTGAATGCTCGGGTGTTGTATAACAGGTGGTGTTAATGAGGGTCCATGGAATGAAGACACAGAGGCACCTCAAAGATGAATCTTAGCCTTTTCCGGCTGCAAGGTGGATTCATCTCTCTGGACTGAACCACTGTAGCTTAGCAAAGGGCCCTTTTATTGTTATACAATTTACACCTTAGTAAGTCAATTCCATTTACCAAAACCTCTTATCTAAGCCCCCTAAAGGGACAATGCCAAATGCAAATTCTCAGTAAAGGAATACCACAGTGTTTTGGCTTGGTCCTAACCAAGTTTGCATAGGCTTTAAACCCCTTAGGAAACTCTCAGATAAGACTTCAAACAGAGGGTACCAGAGACAGGAGCTAGCAATCACAAAAGGCAGATCAAAGCTAGGTGCTAACACTCCGGAATCTGCAGGAATTCTCCTAACACTCAGGAGACCCCTAGAGGCTGTGCCTCTCTGCCCCCAAAGCCTTACCATGGTAAGCCTCGCTAAGGAATGAAAACCAGCTTTCACTGCTGACTCCCAGGACCAAGGAGCAGAAAATGAGTCCAGTGAGAAGCTTCATCCTGCTGAAATGAAAGGACAGGCTGAAGGAGACGCCCACAGTCTGGCGCCTCCTTCTCGGGTGTCTCATCCACAGACACCCTGGTTGTTCTGTCTTACTGATGTTCAGTAGTGTCCTAGCAGTGGCCCCTGGAGACCTCACAGCAGGACCCCGCTCAGAGCCACAAGGTCTCAGTTCTGACCCCATCCTGCCTGCTGAACTGTTTATGAAGGCAGCAGGCAGCTCCGATGCAGCTGCAGGAGCAGAGATCACCACTCCCTCCAGGAGCCTCTGATTCAGCAAGAAGCATTGTGCCCCCTCAGCCGGCACAAATCCCACACCCGGTGAATGAAAGTGAGGAATTCCCTTGGGAGGAAAGCACACTTGCTGAAACCCAGCACACACTAAGTATCTGTGCATAGGTTTGTCCCTCACCTGATGTCTGATGGGCAGAGATGGGTGGCTGTGGCTGTCAGTGAGAGGAGGCTGGTATTTATGCTGAGCCTCCCTGCTGGGGTCAGGGGCAGAGAGAGACTGGCATGGTGCTTGGGGAAACTCCCAGCAGGTCATTTCTTCTAAAAGGCTGCAACAGAAATCTTGCTCCATCCACAGGTCATTTCCTGTAATTGTGCAATGTGAACACACTATACACCTTTGTCTTTTCAGTCTTCTGGGTCAGAGTACATACTTTTTAATACTGATGGAACTGAGGATGCTGAGAGTCAAGGAGTGGCCATCTCAGTAGAGGATCAGGACTCCTAAGGATAGGAGACTAATTCCTGTAGCCAACACTTGTTTTCCCAGGCATTGCCTCAGGTTGGTTTTTATTTTTTTAACCTGGAACTGACACTTTACCTTCAGTCAGTCAGTCTGTCAGTCTGTCTGTCTGTCTCTCTCTCCCCCTCTCTAGTTTTTGAGACAGGGGTTCACTGTGTAGCCCTGGCTCTCTTGGAACCTACTCTGTCAACCAAGCTGGCCTAGAACTCACAGATTCACCTGCCTCAGCTTCCCGAGTGCTGGGATTAAAGGCCTGTGCCACCACCACCCAGCTGGCCATAAGTCTCTTTTTCATGTCTAAACTAAAATTGCAAAACTGACCAGCCAGCCCCACCAGACATTGCGTGTTTCCAAGGCACCTGTAGCATTTTCACTAGCATACTCCGCTCTCAGCTCTTAGGGAGGCACCTCTGTCTGTACGTTCTTTGTGATGTGACAAAAAGATTAACTAAACTGTCTCACAGGGACAAGGTACTAGAGGGGCCCTGCTCCTTCCTTAACTCAGTCCTAGGAAGGAGCATAAGGTCAGGGCTAAGGCTTTGGGGAGTAAGGAACTAGGAAACCCATAGAAGGGAGGAAGGAAGTACCATTTCTCACAGAGAAGAGCAGCCAGCAGAGGTGGTGGTGGTGGGGTGAGGGAAAGCTAGGTCAGGCACTGAAAGATGAACCCAGCTCTCAGGGCTGTATTTCCCAGAGGATCACTCTTAGCCCTCTCATCAGTGTGAGTTGGAAATCTCAGGGTCAGCAGGGGTAGGAGATGAGGGCTGGCATTACACCAGCCTGTACATGTAGGAACACAGCCTGCTGCCATCCAGAAAATAAGCTCTCTTGCTCTTCTTAAGCAGAAATATTCTAGGGAGAGGGTTCTGGACACCACAGGCAGCCTAGACAAGGTGACATCATTACAAACTGAAGATGGATGGAGGAGACGGACTGATTCTCTGCCTGAAACTAGTTTCTCGTTCCTCCTCCTCTTGCTGGGCTCGGTTCATCCCAGCAGAAAAGCTCATTTAGTCTCTTCTTTCTGATGTTCACTCTCCTGTCATCCTGCTCTTCTTCCTTGGTATGAGTTTGAAACAGACTTTCAAACTCCCCAGGGTATGTAGCATGTGGGAGGCGAAGAGGGGGCATCAAGATTCTATCTGACTTTACAGATGTCTTATGTGCACACATGCCATTAGCGAATAAAAGAGGTCAGTTACGGCTCCTGTGGCCTGGCCAGCAAGTTAGGAATCTGACCAATCTACCTTCTTTGTTTGAGGTTAAAGATTCAGAAAGTAGTAACAAAACAAAAAGTCAAACCCAACTATAGCCTTATGACAGATGATGTTTTGTTTACATAATGATTCCAAGGACTCCCACATTGTAACTTCAGAGTGACAGCAGAAGTTGGGTCTGTACTGTCCCTGCATGTATGTGGTGTTTGTCACACCACCTGGAGGGTGGTCAGCAGCCACTCCTCACCACGTTTGTCCTGGTGGGACTTGCAGAACTGGTACACTGGGCTAACACAGTCCCTGTACTGAAAGGTCCAGCCTCGTGGTGTTTACATTGCACAGACCAATAAATAAGCACACGACACAAAGCAGGCCACCCTCAGTGTCTGGATTTAAATTATCCCTGGTGATTGTTGGGAAGAAATGGTTTTATGATCAGCCATAGCAACTTTTTGAATACCAATCATTTTCACTCTTTCACAAGATAAAATAATAATAATCTCAGGCTGCAATGATGGCCCAACAGTTAAGAGCATTTGCTGCCATTTCAGAGGACCTGAGTTTGGTTCCCAGCATCCATGTTAGGCATCTCACAACTGCCCATAATTCAGTTTCAGGGTATCAGCACTCTCCTGTCTCAGCAGGCTCCTGCATGTGTATGATGTACATAAACTCACACAGACATACATACGTACATATTAAATAATAAAAACAAATCTTTAAAAATAATCTCTAGTAAATTTTTACAAATATTATCAGAATCAATTTTTACAAATATCAGAATGACTTGAAAATACATTCAACAATCCACCAAGGATTTTTATATAATAAAATGACTAACTACCCTAATTGTCATCAGAGAGCTTTTATCCAGTAATTGATGGAAACAGATGAAGAGATCCACAGCCAAGCACTGGGCTGAGCTCCTGGAGTACTGCTGAAGAAAGGGAGGAGGGATTATATGAGCCAGGGGGGTTAAAGTCATGAGGGGGGAACCCACAGAGACAGCTGACCAGAGCTTGTGGGAGCTCATGGACTCTGGACCAACAGTTAGGGAGCCTGCATGGGACCGACCTAGGTCCTCTGCATGTGTGTGACAGTTGTGTGGCTTGGTCTGTTTGTGAGGAGGCTCCTAGCAGTGAGATCATGACCTGTCCCTGGTGCTTAGCTGGCTTTTGGGAAACTGTTCCCCATGCTGGGATTACTTCATCCAGCCTTGATGCTTTCAGAGGAGCCCGGTCCTTCCTCAACTTGATGTGCCATGATTATTCATGCCCAAGGGAAGCCTGCCCCTTTCTGAATGGAGATAGAGGAGGAGTGGATGGGGAGGGGGGTAGATGGGAGGCTGGGGGTTTGGAACGGGAGGTGAGGAGGGAGGGGAAACTGTGGTTGGTATGTAAAATAAATAAATAAAATAATAAAAATAAATAAATAAAATGACTAAAATAGTAATTACCTAATTACTGACCAATGAACTCACTGATGAATGTTTTGTGTACAATCCACCTTAACACAGAGAGGGAGGGGCTAATTCCATCTTCTCTCAATGATACAACAACTATGCATGATAAATTCCAAAAGTAAAAAATTGCCTCATTTATCTATGTCTGTGTGCCACATGAATGCCTAGTGCTTCTGGGCCAGAAGAGGGTGTCAGATACCCTGAAACTGGAGGGAGAGATGGTTGTGACCCACCATCTGAGTGCTGCTAACTGAACCCAAATCCTCGGAACAGCAGCCAGTGCTCTTCACTGCTGAGCCATTTCTCCAGCCTAGGTGGGTGCCTGGCTCCAGGAACAGAAAGTTTAGTTCGAGTGCATAGGATGGAGTTATTCTTGATCCTTTGACTTTTAACAAAGCTTCAAAAATGACTTGATAAATTGTATCTGTAGCCTGGCACTGGTGGTGTTCTGCAGTGCAAGTTCCAGGACAGCCAAGGCTACACAGAGAAACCTGTCTTGAAAGAACCCCAAAAAAATATGTCTAGAAGTGAGTTTTTATTTGAACCAATTTTTATGGTTTCATAGAACAATTTGGTTTGAGCACTCTGTAACGCACTATCCCTTTCACATATGTTTTCAGAGGAGAGTACCAGCAATTTGTGTATAGGACGCAGTTATCTGCTGGCCCACACTGCAGGTGGACTCCAGATTCCAGTCACTGTTGCAGACAGTAGGGTGGAGACTGAATCTTCCCTCTCTCTGTGGTGTCCTTTGCCCTGATTCTTTCCATCACATAAAGCCCAGCAGGCTGCAGAAGGCAGGAAGACTGTGGAGAAGAGAGAAGTGCAGAGTTGTGCACACAGGGCCTGCTGGTTCCTTCTGATGCTCCTGGGTACTTCTCACTCACCAGGTCAAAAGGATTTACCCTTCACTGTGGGTGCCAGCTTTGGAAGGGACACATCTCAACAGAGCTAGGAGTCTATTCCCTTCACCACGTCCTTTAGAACAGCACACATGTGACTGGCTTGTGAGAAGAGGCTCAAGAGGGACACCCTTCCCTCTGTCCCTCATGGCTGTAATGGGCTGCCTGCTGCCAAGAAGGGGGGAGGAAATGGACAGTGGACTTGACTGCTAAGCCCCTGCTCTGAATTATTTTATTTCTTGTTTTTTCTTCATGGGAGATAGCAATCTTAGGCTGTATGTATCCTCTGCTTTAATAGTTCCTTAACTGAACTTTTATATATACACTCCTTCATATATTTTTCTATTTATTACCCATTTTGTTATTAAATACCTAGGAGAGTTGTCTTAAGCAAACATCACCATCCCCTCATTATAAGTCTCACATTCATGAAATCATAGACTGGACTTGGCCTCCACTGTCTGTCCAACATCTACTTCAGTGACTGTTAAATAAAAGACCAGTGAATCCTTGTCCTGTGATTAAACAGCCATGGGATAAAACCCAACACCTTAGTCACTGACACCCATGAAAGTATAATGGAGCAGAAGAACTCCTGTTGCTGACACCATAGCCTTGGGATCGCCATATACCAGGGTACTGCTCACATGTGGATGGCACTGCTGTATGGAAAACTACTGTGCTGCCATTCACATGAAACCGCAGCACACAGAATTCTATACAGGCTTTGATGGTGGTAAAGAATCTCTCCATTCCTGGTTTGTACTTACTCCAACACACTTCTTTTGGTTAACCACGTTAGTGTACAAGAGTGTTCCCTGTTGTGCAGCAACAGCCTCATGCACCTGATACTCACTCTTTCTTTGTCATATTGGAGACAACATGGGTGAATTAGCCTGTATTGTCTAGCTGTGTGCAGGTGCATGTGCACACGATGACCTGGGTGCCTTCTGCCATATTGTGATATTGAGGAGCTATGCCCTCCATAAGCTCTGGTATTTGACCACTTATTCCCAAGATGGTAGAGCTGTTGGGACATTTGTGGGTCCTTTGAGAGTTGGAGCCTTACTAGAGGAAGTATATCACTGGGATGTGTGTCACTTTGAATTTTTAAAGTCTTATTTCATTTGCTGTTTACTCTCTCCTTCCTGCCTGCCTCTGAACTCCCTGTCACTTCCTGCCATGTCTCCCTGACATGATGGATTCTTATTCCTCTGAAACCATGAGTACAAAACCATTCTTTTATGAGTTTCTAAGTTATGGTATTTTTGTCTTGGCAATAGAAGGGTAACTAAGATTCTGCGTCTCTCAGAGCACATCCGGGTCTTTAAGCAGTGCATGCATGTAGGTGAACATGCCACTGGTGCAAATTCAGAAGGCCCAGGAGTACAGAGGCGTGGACCCCTGGATGCACACTTTCTTGGCTGTGAAAACAGCAGAAATGCTACCGAACATCACTGGGGCCACTCCATCCTACGTTTTTTCTTAGACACTGTCCCCTCTACACCAGGACTTTGAGGGTCTCCCAGTTTCACTATGGGGCATAGCTGAAGTCACTCTAGGTCCTGGAACCCAAGGTGACTCTTCCCCTCTGGACCATGCTGTTTCCAACCCAAAGTGCTGGATTTTAAGATCTATGATGGGAACTCAGGTTCAAGGCCTCTCCTGGACAGATCCTGTGGTGTTTTGTAACAGGGCTTTCACATACGAAGAAGCATGGCAGGGTACCAAAGGGACAATGTCCAGGTTTTTGTTGCCTGAAGCTGGATTGCTGTGACCCATGGCCCTTTTCCAAACTAAGCCACCCACCCTAGAATTCCTGTAAGCCACCATTCATTTTTATAATGGATGGGCCAATTTGCAGAAAGTCTTCTTAGGGAGTTCTGAGGTAGAGCTGGAGTAGGCAGAGTGCTGGCTGAGGGCTGCTATGTTCTGGGTGCTGGTCCTTGAATGACTCCTACAGACTCTTAGGCTCTCTGTAGACTCTCTGCAGGCTCTTTCAGAGAAATGGATTTGGACATAGATGGTTTCTTCTTCCTGTGTAACAGCATTCTTCCCAGAAGGGGTCCTGCTCATGACAGAAGGAATGGGCTGACTGTGGCTCTCTGATACATGGATCCCATTCCTTCGGGTGAAACTCGAACCCTCTGTCCTGTATTTAAGGTTTTCCAAGTTCAGAATTAGTCTGCAATTCCTAATGTGTGTGCTTTCGTTTTGTTTATATTGCATTGTTTCAAACTACTCAGGACTTCACACATGCGAGCAAGTACTATACCAATGAGCCACATTCCTAGCCCCACATTCACTTTTGCGTGTTGTATGTTATCTCTAAAAAGAAAATCTTGTTTATAAGCACTTTTTATGAGAATGTCTCAAAAATATATTATAGACATATCTATCCCTACTAGTCAGACTTTTTAGTTTTTTTTCACTCTTGGCCCTCCATTCCCTCCTCTCTCTCCCTCCCTCCCTCCCTCCCTCCCTCCCTCCCTCCCTCCCTCCCTCTCATCTCTCTTCTCTCTCTTTTCTCAGTAGAATGAAGCCTGTTGGGGGAAAACCAGAAAGGCATCAAGTCTACTTGGTCTTTAGGAAAGAGTGTCATCCTGGCTTCTGGGTATCAGCCACTCCACGGAGCCCCCAACTAGTGCGAAGAGGGGAGGCTGCTGCCTCTGTCTAGAGTTCTGAATATTCAATTCCTAGGCTCCCTCGCTTGGATTGGCTTTCAGTGCACAGCCTTCATTCAGTGACCAGAACCAGCCTCCCAGGATCTTCCCTCTGCGAACAAGATCTCACTAGTCCACCTTACCATGCTAACCATGCCAGCATCACTGACAGTCCTTGGTGCTCTACAGGCAGCTTTCCCAGTGTTCTGCCAGAGCACAGTTCATGGTCCATCCAAAGCTCTCTGTGCTGGATCAACAACATTGGCTGCTGCTGTAGACTGGTTCTATCAAAATCTCTCCCTGCAGTTCTGAATCAGCACCCTCACCCATTCAAATGTACTCATAGGAATCCTGACATCTTCAAAAACAATTCCTCTCATATCAAACACATCTGGCCTTTGTGTCTTTCATTTTCCCTACTAATCCATCCTACTGGGTGCCTGCTTCCAAGTTTCCTAGCATGAGCTTAGCTTCTGCATTGGAATTTGGCAATGAAAAAAAAAAACCCCAGCAATTGTGCATCTTCTGACCATTCACAATGCACCATCCCCTTACCTCTCTATTCTGGTCTCTAGCCACATCAGAGTCTGCTTCACAGTACGTACACATAATTGTCTCCTCACCCGTCCCTTCAAAACTCTTGTAATTTGATGATCATTTCCACAAATAATAACAGACATTTGTAAGAAAAAACAGAAAGAAAGAACTGCAGCATCATTCTGAACAAATGTGCATCCACAAGCCAATTATCCAATCACCAAACAACCAAAAGTCCAAGACCTCCTCAGGTCTCTGAATCTACATTGATTATACCAAACTCCTCTTGGTCATCCTGTTGTTGCCCCGAGTCATGGAGATCCTGCAGTCATTGTTCTGAAGGTCCAGTGTCCTTGTGCTCTCCAGCAGGTCATAGATGGGGCAGCTACTAGGGTGGGCCAACCCAAGGCCCGGCAGGTGGGTCTGGATGGTAGATGAGCTGGTCAGTCTGGGTCACTGGAACCACCCCCTTAGGGAAGGGTCAGAGCCAGCACTCCTAAGCCATGCCATCTGAGCCAGCTCTCCCTTGCCAGAGGCGGGGCCATCTCTCCCATGGGGGTGGGTGCGGCACCAGCTCTCATAGGAGCACCTTCTAAGAACTCTCAGTAGTAACCTGGAGAGACCGACTAGGGTTAGAAAATGTTCTTCTCCACCATGTCTCAGGCTGCTCTGACCACAGGCTCAAGCCATGAGTTTTTCCATCTCTGTCTTCCTCTCATGTTGTCTTTCCCACCCAGGGGCTGGGGACATGTGACAAGCCTACTCTGACATGAAGGAGGCCAACTGGAAAGATTCAGACAAATACTTCCATGCCAGAGGGAACTATGATGCTGCCCAAAGGGGTCCTGGGAGAGACTGGGTTGCTGAAGTCATCAGGTAAACATAGACCGTTGGGACACTGGGCCTGGTTAGAAGGTATTGACTGTGCTAGGAGACCAGGGGCAGATGAGCCCCAGAGAAGGTCATGCCAATCTGTGGCCCCTCCCCCTCCTGCTCATGCAGTTACTTCCTCCATTCATGCTCAGTGTGGATCCTGGGCTGTGGGCAGAGCCAGCACTCAGCTCATGCTGGGTAGGCCTGTTTCCAAATGCAGACAGGGAGTGACTCATCCCTGCCTGTCTGGTGATGGTCATTCAGTGTAGGGTGGCCAGACTGGCCTAAGCGTTGCTGGGCTTGGCAGGGTCACTGTTTCAGGCCCTCTTTCCTGGCCCTTCCTAGTTTCCTCCTAAAGCCATTCCATGCAAATGAGAGAACTGGGGGTGTCGACTGTGGCGATGAAGCTTGGTGATAGATCTCCTCCATGTCTGCTTCTCCTAGTGATGCAAGAGAGGGCATTCAGAGTCTCATGGGCCGTGGACATGAGGATACTATGGCTGACGAGGAAGCCAACAGATGGGGCCTCAGTGGCAAGGACCCCAATCACTACAGACCTGCAAGACTGCCTGACGAATACTGAGCATCCTCCTTACTGCCTCAGGAAGCTGTGCTGTGGGGTCTGGGGTCAGGATATGGGGTTCTTCACTTTAGTGTCCACTGTGGGTGTGGAGGGCATACAGTGCACATGTAATAAATTCATAAGAGATGAAGTTTCCTGTCATTGTGTTTTAGTGGGTGGAGCTGTGTGGTATAAAGGGTCAATACTAAACACAGTCTGGAATAGAATATTTAGGCTTAGGACTGATGTTCTCAGAAGTTACATAGAGAGATAGCTCTTGATGACGGCCCCATTCCCCATTCAGGCTCACGTGACAATTCAAGTCCCTGAAGTTACAGAGATACTGTTTTCAGACCTTTCCATGTCGTGACCTCCACCCTCTGTGCCTACTGTTCCAGCACTTTCTCCTCTCTCATGGCATTAGTCTGATATTTCTCTGCCTCTGTGGACAGGGACAACTGTGTGAAGACTGCCGTGGTGATTCTGCCTCAGAGACTGCCGTTTTGATCCTCTGTCTCAAATACACATTCTCTATCTCTATCCCTCCCTCCCTCCCTTCCCCCTTTCCTTCCCTCCTTCTCTCTCTCTCTCTCTCTCTCTCTCTCTCTCTCTCCCGTGCAGGACATTGAACTCAGGGCCTCACACATGCTAGACAAGCACTCTACTACTGAACTATAGCCCCAGTCCGTAACTGTTTATTTACTAGGAAGGATTCAGCAAGACGGATTCTGACAAAGCTTGTTGGATTTAACAGCTCTCTTCTCACCAATGTTAAGTAGAGAGAGAGCAGCTGCTCCATGGCAGCAAGGTCCTAGCAGCCCTACCTCCTCTGGGACCTCAGCTAGAGAAAGGGACAGAGCTGGCACTCTTTTCCAGGGAGTGCTGCTCTCGCTGTACTCCTGAGATCCCATTTCATATACGGTTGGTAAGTTCTAGTGGGGGAACAATCATATTTTCTGATGGTTTGCTCTCTAGAGATAGGGACTCATGTCGCCCACACTGGCCTGGAACCAGCTTTGTAGCCATGGATGACCTTAAACTTCTTTTTTTTTTTTTTGGTTTTTCGAGACAGGGTTTCTCTGTGTAGTTTTGCGCCTTTCCTGGAACTCACTTAGTAGCCCAGGCTGGCCTCGAACTCACAGAGATCCGCCTGGCTCTGCCTCCCGAGTGCTGGGATTAAAGGCGTGCGCCACCACCGCCCGGCTGACCTTAAACTTCTGATCCGTCTGCCTCCACCTCCCGAGTGCTGGGAATACAAGCCTATGCTGCTGGGCTAGCTTTGTGTGGTTGTGCTGGGGATGGAAGCCATGGTTGCAGACACTCTGGGAATGTGGACTATTGCTTGACTTCCAGTTCCAGCATTTCTGTGTCTTTGGGGTCTGAGCTAAGTGGAAGAGGGACTCGGAAAAGGCTAGTTGATCAGCTTTAGTCAGCTTCACTAGGTACAAATGGGCTGCAAGCCAGCAATTCCCTGGAACTCTTGGTTATGCAGTGATCTGGCAGAGAGTCCTAAAGTCCGTTATTCTTGTCCTTGCAGCAGAGATTCGGAGATGAAGAAAGAATGCAGGTCAGATTGTCTGTACCAGTCAGAGTGTGGGTCTGTCTTTGTTTGAGACAAGGCTCATCTATGTAGCCTTGGCTGGTCTAGAATTTGCCTAGTAGACCAGGTTGGCCTCAGAATAAGGCATCCACCTGTCTCTGCCTTGGAGTTCTGGGATTGAAGGTGTGGGTCTGTTTTGACTGCTATTTCTGATCCTGCAGCACCATGAGGCTAGCCACAATTCTTTTGCTCTTTATTCACGGGAGTCGGTGGTGATGGCTGGTATCCGTTCTTCAAGGAAGCCATACAAGGTAAGAAGTCGTCAGAGATGATGGGCACATTTGTTGAACAAATCCTAATTGATCTTATAATAAAAACCCGGAGCCTGATGTTGGGGTAAATGCTGAAAGATCAGAGGAAACAGGCCACAGCCACTTCTCACCTCGCCAACTCCTCAGCCGAAAGGGGAAGATCCTGTCTCTATGGATCCTCAGACTGAATGCCCCCGAGTCCTCAGTTAAAGGAGCTGCGTGAGTTCCTGTCTCCTCCTGCCTTCTGTGCCTTTCTCTGCCCAGTCACATCACTTCCTGTCTCATCCTTCCTAGTGGTGGGATTAATGGCTTATGTTCTTACCAAACACTGGGAGCAAAGGCATGATATCCAAGTGCTGGGATTAAAGGTGTGTGCCACCACTGCCTGGTCTCTATGACTGATCTAGTGGCTGTCTTTGCCCTCTGATCTTCAGGTCCATTTTATTTGTTAGGAGTACAAACAAAATATCACCACACACATTTCACTGTTCCAGGGACACCCTCTGAGCAGAGGCCACATACCTGTAGGGTGCAGACACACCTTTAAAAACTACAAATGAGTCAGGGCAAGAGTGTGGCTTTCTGTGGCTTCCCAATTCTACACTGTTCACTTGGCACCCTCTGAGGGATCTTTAGACACAGTTGACAAGGTCCAGCCTGTATTGCTGATGCTGATCCAGAGGGATCAGGATTTCCAGAGAGTGTGCTCCACAGAGGGAATTCACAGACAGCAAATTCCCCAGTCTCAGAGTGTAAGTGGACACTCAGTGTGTCTCCAGAGGCACATGAACTTAGTAAATGTGCACATGACTACAGATAGTACTTCCTACAAAATTCCCATCCTATTCTAGACAAACAGCCAAGAGCAAGCATGCAGTCCTGTAGTCCTTGAAAGTGGCTAAGGGAGATACCTGATTCCAGAGAAAGCCTTTCCTGAGGCTGTTCTCCAAATACCTGAAATGTGTATGTCCAGAGAGTGATCAGTCCACACTGTTAGCCCTTCTTAGGGAAAAATCAATTGGGAAAACTATGAAGGCACACATGATTTTCATAACAGAAGACAGCTGATATATAACAAGTCAAATAACACCAAAAGCTCCTTGGAATTTGGCTTCTTCCTCTGGAGGAATTCCCTGATCCCTCCAGGTATAACCATTTGCCATAACCAGCTGAGTTCTTATGATATATTCCTGTGACCCGCAGCAGTTTAGTGTCTCTTAAGAGGTGCAAGCAGGAAGATCAGAAGTTCAAAGTCATTCTTGGATACCTAGGGAGTTGTAGATCAGCCTTTGATAGTTGATGCCTCAAAAACAAAAACATTTCAGGTAAATGATGGCATTGTAAACAATCATCCCAAGGGAGCTAACCTGGACTCAGAAAGGCAAACATCACATGCTTTATCTCTTCTGTGGATGTTATCTCTGAATTTGTGTTTCAGTTAGAATTCCCACAGAGGGAGGGATAGGAAGGCACAACAGGTGGGGGGTAACTTTCAAGGGGGAGGGGGCAGTCAGTTTTCTCTGAGGGTGTGAACCATGGTAGGTGGAAGAACACACATCTGAGATTTGGAGGACACAAACGGGACTTGGTGACTTTAAAGAGAGAGAGAGAGTGGAGATGGGTGCACAGGGAGGTGGGAGGTGGATCTGGGAGAAGCTGGGGGGGGATATGATCAAATAAATTCTGTGAAATTCTCAAAGATTTCATAAAAATATTACTTTAAAAAGAAGAAGAGCAGGTTGGATGGATGAGCAGATGAAGATTCCTGGCACACAAGTCTCACAGCCTGAGTTCGATCCCCAGAGCCCATGCACAGGTGGAAGAGGAGAACTGACCCCACTAGATACCCTTGGATCTCCACAGCTGTGTGGTGGTGTGTGCCACACATACAATGGCCACCAATAAAAAATGCTGGGGTCTGGAGAGATGGCTCAGTGCTTAAGAATGTAGTGTGTTGCTCTTCCAGAAGACCTGAGTTTGGTTCCCAGCACCACATTGGGAGGCTCAGAACCACCTGTGATTCTAGCTCCAGAGGATCTGGCTTCCCCTCTGACCTCAGTGGGAAGCTGCATTCATGTGTTCTCCCACATCCATGTAATTAAAAATAAAGTAATAACAAAGGAGAAAATGAACCTGTTTCAGGCATTAGTGAGGCACAGTTTTAAATGTGTCTCTAAGGAAGTTTCCAGAGAAGAAGAGGGAAAGTTTCTCCCTAGATGTGGGTGACACCATGGCATGATCTCAGATGTACACATAAAAATAAACAATGAAATAAATCTTCTAGTTTAAGTAAGTAAATCTTAGTGTGCTTCTGTTGCTGTATATAATATTACCCTCTGGAAACTTTATAAAATGTAGAAGTGTATTTAACTCATGATGCTCCAGGCTGGGAAGTCCAAGGGTGGAATCTGATCCCTGGTGAGGGTCTTGTATCTCATCCCCTCTGAGAACACCACACCGAGAGACAGATCAGGTCTGGTAGTTCAGGTCCCTTCCTCTTCTCACAAAGACATTAAAGCCATCATGGGGTCCTATCTTTATGACCTTTTCTGATCCCTACTTAACTCTAAACATCCAAAGCCCACTGCCAGCTGAAGCTGGGGATGAAATTTCTAACATGTGGACTTCTAGGGGAGACATCCACATCACAGAGGCTTCTGTCTGTCAGGATTCTGTCAGGAAAGAACCCAATCAGACAAGGTGGCAACAGCAATGTTCCCCAAGGGGTGACAAGGTGCCGACAGTGTAGAGAAATGAGGCCAGGCAGCCCATTCACTGAAGAGAAATTACTGTGGGTGGGTTGTCAGTATCTCATCAAGACCCTAAAGACAGGTGGTCCCTGTACGCAATGTGGAGGACAGGGAAGAGCGAAGGGGAATGATAGACAGGCAAAGGCAGAAATCTTTGCAGACAGGCATTAATGACATGAGTTAGGCCCTTTGGATGAGGGACAAACTCGGTTTTGGTGACCCCTCTTTGAAGGAGTTATGTGAACAAATCATTAAAGCTTGCTCTCTTCCCTCCCCCCAGCTCCTGCCAGGGCTCCCCACTGGCCAAACTAAACTGGAAGGGACACAGAGCAGAGTCAGGGCATCTGTGCAGGCCAGCCTCCTAGAGCAGAATGCAGAGGGAAGAAGGGCAGAGAGTCTCCGGGGAAGTGAAGGGGAGGTACCTCAGGTTGGGGCAGATTTCCCAATCAGAGTGCTTGGCCTAGCTAACAGCAGCCAAGTGTTGCTGAAAGAGTGAAACAGTGACCCGAGGGGTGCCATCCAAACCCCCTCTCCCCGATCTCAAAGTCCACGTCTGAAAAAGTCCTAGATGCTACAGGCACTGGGAGAGCAAGGTATGTGCGTGTGTGTGTGTGTGTGTGTGTGTGTGTGTGTGTGTGTGTGTGTGTGTGTGTAAAAGCATGCCTGGCAAAGTTAGATGAGCAGACTGGAACTTAGTTCTCTTTTTCCCTCCCTTTTTTTTATTTGTTTGAGAATTTCCAATAAAGTACTTTATCACTTTCACCCTCCTCCTGGTTAGCCTTTTGTCAACTTGACACAAGCTAGAGGTACCAGGGAAGAGGAGCCTCGATCGAGAAATCTCTCTCTCTCTCCCCCCTTCTCCCTCTCCCTCCCTCTCCCCCTCCCCCCCCCTCAAAGCAGGTTCTCACTATGCAGCCCTGGTTGGCATGGGACTGGCTATGTAGACTAGGTTGTTCCCAAACTCACAAATATTCTCTGGAATGCTGGAACTAAAGATGTGGGTCGTCTTTCCCTGCCTTGTTGAGCATTTTCTTGATTAGTGATTGGTGTGGGAGGTCCTAGGCCACTAGGACAGTGCTGCCCTTTGGTAGTTGGTACTGGGTTGTATAAGAAAATGGGGCTGGGCAGGGCAGTGGTGCTGCATACATTTAATCCCAGCACTCTGGAGGCAGAGGAAGGCAGATCTCTGAGTTCAAGGCCAATGTGGTCTACAGAGTGAGTTGCAGGACAGCCAGGTCTACACAGAGAAGCCCAGTCTCGAAAAACAAAAACAAAAGACAAACAAACAACCAAAGAGAATGGGGCTGAGCAAGCCATGGAGAATAAGAGGGTAAGCAGCATCCCTCCATGGCCTCTGATTCCAGGTTACTGCCTTGAGTTCCTGCCTTGGTTTCCCCTGATGATGGGCTGTATGTGACCCACAAGCCATGTAAACTCTTTCCACCACAAGTTACTTTTGGTCATTGCCTTAGTAACTTTTCTATTATCGTGACAAAACATCGTGATCAAGACAACTTATAGAAGAAAGCATTTAATTTGGGTCTGGTTTACAGTTCAGAGGGTGAGTCCACCATGGCAGGGAGCATGGCAGCAGGCTGACAGGCATGGTGCTGGAGCAGTAGCCCAGAGTTTACATGTTAAGGTAACAACCACAAGGCAGAGAGAAAAAGGTCAAGATGGAGATTGAGAGTGAGGGAGGGGGAGAGGGAGGGGGAGGGGGACAGGGAGAGGAGGGAGAGAGGGAGGGGGAGAGAGAGAGAGCACTCACTGGGAGTGGTGTGTGGGCTTTTGAAATCTCAAAGCCCAACCCTAGTGACACACCTCTTTCAAGGAAGCCACATCTCCTAACGCTCCCCAAACAGTTTAAGCAACTGTGGACCAAGCATTCAAATGTTTGAGCTTATGGGACCGTTTTCATTCCAGCCACCCCAGTCACGGCGTTTATTACAGCAATAGCAGACATGATAATTCTCTCCCCCACTCCTCCCAGGTCTACCCTGCCTTCTCTACCCACCCACCTTTGTGGTCTCTTAGATTTTTTTAATCTACCAATCTAATTTTTCTGCTCATATACCCTTGGGTGTGTGGCCTTTCATCGCAGCATGGCTAACTTGCTAAGCCTGAACCCTTAAAGAAAACCCACTCTCCCTCTCCCAGCAGCTATCAACTGCCAATGGTTCCTTGGCTAGGGGCGGGACTTTGTGCCCATCTCCCTTCTCCATGCTGGGATGCGGTCTGGCCTGAGCTTTGTGCAGATGCTGTGCACTGTCACGATTGCTGTGCTGTGAGTCCACACGTGTGAGCAGGGGCTGCGTCTGGAAAACAACTTCCCTGTAGTCATCCGCCATGTCTGCCTCTTGCAGTTCTTCTCTCTCCTCTTCTGCAGTGGTCTGTGAGCCCTGGGGGAAGAGGATGTGGTACAGATGTTCCAAGTGCAAAGGGACATAGTCCGAAAACTGACACATGCTGCCTAAACACAGCCAGTTTAGAGTGCTGGTTTAGGAGGCTTCACCACAAACTGCCTTTGTTTTCCCAACCCTGGTTTGACTGTGAAGGTAAAATTCCCTTCTCTGTCCTTAGTACTGGGTCACTGTTGGCCATTGGAAGTCCCTGCAGTCCTGTTTCAACAGCAGTGGCAGGTCTGCTTTAATGTGACCCTCCCACATTACAGGCTAGTTGGCTGTTTGGACACTTGGAGGAGTGAAGACCAGAGGGTCTTCCCATGCAAGTGACTTGGAGGTGTCTTTCCACCATGGCTCCCAGCCTCAGGACTGGGGGAGGGGAATGCTGTAGGGAGGGAGTACCACCAGGGCCTCGGCAGAGTCTGAAGCACTCCTAATCACGCTAACATTCTCTGTTGACCTGGGGGTCTCTGCAGAAATGGTGTGCATGGCTGCTCCTGAGAGGAATTTCACCTCCTCATGAGCCCCCTCAGCAGTGGAGGTTATTACCAGAAAGAGGAGCAGCTGCACCCACTGCTCCCTGAGGAAGGGTTTGCCTACCTTCACCTACCCAGTGCCTTCACCTGAAACTCAGTGGTCTTTCCAACCCAAGTGACCAAGTGGCAGAGATGAACAGAACATCACCCTATTTGTCTGGCACACTGCCAGTACCCTTCAAACTCTGATGATATGGACTATTCCATCCTTCCAAAGTACCAAGATGAGGAGCAAGCACCAGGGTGTTCAGGGGTTTCCCCCAGGACCCCCTCACCACACTCCTGTCTGCCAGGCAGGGTGTGGGGTCAGCTGGCAGGCTGTATCACCCGCTATGAAACCTGCTGAGGGCTCAGGAGACTCGCCCTTTTCTTCTGGGCACCTGAACCCACATGAAGAGATCTAACTCCGCAACTACTTTTTTTCCTCACAGAAGAGCAACTCTAGTCCTGTTGGCTACTCAAAGTCCCTGCAGTCTCGGTTCAACTCTAATGGCAGGTCGGCTCTAAGGCCCCCCTCAAGCAGTGTGGGTTAGCTGTCCTGTCCACTCCCTGAGTTTTTTTCCACATGCACAAGAAAGAGCAGGAGTGAGAGGTGAAGGAGAGGTTGAGACTGAGAGCCTGCACTCTGCCTCCTCCCAGACTTTGGGGGCTCTGAGGTCGGGCTCAGCTTCTTGCACGAATTCTCCAGGGTGTGGAACAATCAGAGCCTCTTCATCCTCTCAGGTGTAGGCAACAGGAGAAAGGGGTTCATCAGCAAAATTTCAAACTCAGCTGCCAAAGAAGGCATTGTGCAATTCTCGATTTTTCCAGGTTTACATTTTGAAATTTCTAGTTACGTGAAAGAAAATCCAGACTCACACTCCGAGAACATGTATTTAGACCCAAGTTCCTTGTTGGTGGAGTCCTTGCAAACTTGCAGGCAATAGTCCAATGCTATGGAGTAATCTACGGGAAATGCAGGTTGGGTCTGATGTGGGTTGTTCCTGTATGTGCTGGAGAGACGCAATGCACTGTGGATCAATCTGTGTTTATTCAATGTGGGCTGGACTCAGAACCATACAAACTGGCATGCTTCTCTCAAACATTTAGAGTCCTCTAAAATCCTCTTCCAGTTTAAGTAAATAAGCTTGCAGAATGCACAGATGAGTGCATTTTTATATTTATTCACCACCTGCTTAAGGAACCAAGAGAAATGTCTGGATGATAGCGAGACAAAACAGACAGTGGTCTTCTCGCGAGATCCCGTTTCATGGAGACACATTAGGAATGAACAAGGGGCAACTTTGTGTGATAATAAAATGAACAATAAAGAAAAACGTCCCTGGACACACCTATCACACCCCATCCCCCAGGCTCAGGGCTCTTCTTGGAATAGGGGCAGAAAGAATGTAAGAGGTAGAGGTGGTGGATGACTTTAAGGACAGAGTGTTTTCCAGACACAGCAGGACACTGCACAGGTGAACTCACAGGGATTGTGACAGCATGAACAAGACCTGTGCAAGCTCAAAGCAGACAAAATTCCAGCATAGGTGGTGAGGTGGACACAAAATCCCACCCCTAGCTGAGAAGTTATTGTCATTGGAAAGCTGGTAGGAGAGGAAGAGTCAACTTTCTTTAATGGTATGACCCTTGTTGACCAACCTCTAGGGCAGACCCCATAGCCAAGACTAGTTGGCTCATTCAAACTGGACTTGATGAAGGGAAAAAAAGAAGAAAGCTTTAAGTTGGTCGGGTAGGGAGGTGAGAATGGAGTTGGGTATGAGGAGTGAATACGATCAAAATACATTGGATAAAATCCTCAAAGAATTAGTTAAATTATTATTAATAAAGAAAAAGTTCATGTGAAGAGCTCTTCTTCATGTCTAGGAAAGAATTCTCTTGTCTTCTAATATTTCTATCAAAGAAGAGGGCAGGGACTGGAGAGATGGTTCAGCAGTTAATTGAATATGGGTTCATTCCCAGCTCTCACATATTGGCTCACAACCATCTCTAACACCAGTTCCAGGGGAACTGTCATGCTCTTCTGACCTTCACATGCACCAGGCATGCATGTGGTTCATGTACATACATCCAGGCAAAATACACATAAAGCAAATCCAAATTAAAAGAGGAGGAGAAGGGTGGATTGAAAGAGTGTACATGTGGGAAGTGAATTTTGAGTCTAGAATGGCTGAGGAGGTCAGTACATAACCACTGGCAACAAATGTCTGTCCAAGGAAGTCAGGACAGAAGAGGGGCTGCTTTTATATGCAGTCTTCTGTGAAGCACCTCCCCAAGCAGGTCCACAACCAGGGCATGTGGGAGGTTGTAGCTGCTACCCACTGCCTACTGTTAGAACAATGTGAGCCAAGCCAGCCGGACCCCAGGCACTAAAGAATCCCTTTCCCAAGGGATGGAAGTCGTGTGAGGAGTAGCCAAATGTGGCTTGGCAGTGCCTTGGCTAAGGATCAAGAGACTAAAGAGACATCATTTCACAGCTTTTCCATTACAGCTTTCATGTCACAGTACCCAAAACAACTAAAACAAAGGACAAACCTAGAAAGAGGCTTCATTCCCAGCAGCTCTAATCTAGGACGATTCTCAAACATGGTGCCCACCCTGGCCTGACCTGCTTCATCCTGCACCACTTTTACCCACATCCTCCTCCACCACCATACCGCCCTCTGGTTTGTAGTCCAACAAAAAGCTCTTCACTTCCATTCTCTTCGGCTGTTACTCCTTCTTCCTGGCTATTAGTCACCATCTTCCAGCTTACACGGTTTGTCTACATCAACTTGTTTCTCCACTGAAATATTAACATTCCTCTTCTAGTAACAAACAATTTCAGGCAAAAAAAAACCCGAGCTATTTCTTTCTGGGTGGGTCTTTTGGCCTTACTGCTGTCCTCAGGCTTCCAGCCCCGGGTCCCTTAGAACAGAGGAACAAATGTGATGCCCTTATCGTATCCACCATATTGTAGCTATCTATATCCCTTCCTTCTCTAGGGAAGTCAGCGTATTTAATTTTTTCTGTTGAATAAAGGGGTGGGGATACAAAATGAATTGTAGTTCCCTGATTGCGTGAATGGATTTTCTTTACAAGATAAATGCATGTAGCAAAACCTAGTGTTGCTTTTCTAGCTCCAAAAGCTGTTTCCTGGTACTACCTCCCAGCATTCCTCTGTTGTGCTCTGCAGCTTTCTGCCTGAACCCACTGTTAGCACAATTTCACAGCCAGTGGGCCTTCCTCATGCTTGCTTATGGTGTGTTATTTCTTCACGACTTTGAAGCAAATTCCTGTACTATTGCTCTCCTAGTTTATCACAGTATCTGAATTTAATCTGTTCCCTTATCTTCCATACCAACTGTTCATGAATAAATACACTTGAGTCTGGAGAAGTCTTTTCCAGTGTTGAGTTTACCCATGTGGATGCTAAACGTCAGTTTCCGCCTTCCTTTCTCCTGTTTCCTAGGCCCAGCAAATTCTGAACTATGCTTTGAAAGGACTTTAGCTCAGCCTTTGGAGTTGCCGTACACCTCCATGATTCATTACATATTCAGATTTCTTTTTCCAATATGAATGTCCCTCCCTTAGAAATTAGCACTACATGATTGGATGGAAAGTACTCATTGTGATTATTCCCAGTCAGGACGGGGAAGACTCTGAAAATCCTAACTTGCCACATTCCTGAAAATGGCCAGATTGTGCAATCTGGGAAAAGCAGACCTGTGTGTAAAGAGAAATCTTTATGTTCTGAAAGATAAATTATGGCCAAGTGGAATTATGCAAGATGAAAAGGGGGATTTTGCTCCACTAGCTGAGTGACAGTATATATAGATAACCCCAGCCACATCTCCTCAACAAGTGACACAAGCCACTCACCAGGGGTCTCAGCAGGAACTGACAGCCCAGGGTGAGTTGTCAGAACTTTCCGCCATTTGCTCTTTGCAGATTCTTTTCCCTGCTAGCATCCACTTGTAGTGTTTTCCTGCTCTGTCTCTTTCCTGAATCTACCGGATGGATTAGAATTCACTGGAGGCAGTATTTTTATCATGGAGATTTGTTGTATGCTTCTGTGTGAATTCAGGGAAGGGTGGAGTCAACCCTCTACAGATAGACTGCAGAGGTCTATGATGGTTATAAAGCCTCTACACGCCTCTCTGGAAACTTCCTATATGGTTGGGTTTTGGCTGGCAAGATTGGAATGCAATGTGCTTTATGCTAATGGTCCATTTGCAAACTCTCAGTCAGTGGGAGTCTAATGAAACATGTGGAAATGGGGAGCTAGATGGCTCCCTGGAATCCACTTATATCATCCACCTCTACACGTGTGTGGGTTTATGTATAAAATCCAGTGGGACTGGTTACTGGCATAAAAGTACAGCTCAACATTACAGAAGCATCCGACGCCCCAAGAAATGGCAATTCATCCTTGTGTTTTCCCGGCCCTACAGCAGGATGAAGCCATCCATTGCCATCATTTTTTGCTTCTTGGTCCTGGGAGCTGACAGCCAAAGATGGTTCCAGTTCATGAAAGAGGCTGGTCAAGGTAAGGGCAAAGGATGGGGACAGGAGGTTGTATTTGTGAGTTCCAAGTATTTACCAGAGCAGGGACCACATAATTAAGGGATAACGTGCTTGTGAAGTCTCCATGGATAGACAAGCTGCGTTGCTCTTCCCATGTAGTTCTGAACTCTTCTGGTCAGTGTTTACCTTTTTCTGTGAGGATCTCAAGCCTGAGATCACGTAATGTTTGTACAGAAGCTTTCCCACAGGAGTGTAGGAACAATCTGTATTTGAAAGTTGCAGATTCGCCAACAGAAGAGGGGATCTGCTGCCCCCTTGTGGCAGTTCACGTCTATGTCTGGTGACTGTGAATTGAAGTGCATCCCAAGGGTAGTGTTCCAGGCCAGGCACAGGAGAACCACTGCAGTCCCCAGTCCACAGTGACAGCAGCCAAGGCTAACCGAACTTTTCACACAATGAAAACGCATTGTCCAATATGTGTGGAAATGAATTAGTTTTTAAATTAATCTTGTGGTGTAGTGCCACATCTATCTTTTAAGGAAACAAAGCACAAAGCATAATAAGCTATCTAACAACAACAAAAAACCCCGGAAGAGCACAGGTTAGCCCAGGTTGGCCTGCTCCTTATAATCCACAACACAGCTCCCCGGACAGAGAGGACTTCATGAGCACACACTCACTGTTGACCTGAGAAGCAGCAGGTCATGGGTTGGGGAAGGCAGCTGCCTGTGAAGGACGCTCCAGATCCTCTGCCACCCACAGAAGACAGTGACTTGCTTACCTGGAATATAGGTCTTCTGGGGCTCAGACATGGACAAGAAACTGTCACCAAGGGAAGTACATCCCTCCAGCCACAGCACAATAAGAATTAAATGAACCTAGATATTGGGCTTTCCCTTTTCTCCTAACTTGTCACTTTTGAAAACATTTCCCATTTAATGTTAGCTGGATCTGTCCTTCAGTGCACAGCTCACCACAGCTGCCCTTAGTTTACATCTTTTGCTGTTTGTGGTACCTTCCTGAGAAGCAGAGAAATGAGATGATAAATTGAGCATCTTCCATGAACATCCCACGTTCATTTTCTCAGGTTTTCTGCATAACCACCAAGGTGGCTAGTACTCTTCCCTGTTCTTGGGGAGGATGTAGATGTTTCAAACCTAGTGTGCCCTTTGCCACCTAGAGTCTCTGATCATCCAGCTTGTTTCTGTCTGTATCAGAGAACTCACTGTTGTCTCCGCTGATGGAGAGCTGAGAACAGCTCAGGTTACAATAGATCCTGGACATTCCGTGGGGTCAGAGCAGAACTGCACTCACTCTGCCCGGAGAGCAGTTTCTCCCATGGCCTGTGCTAGGAGAGAGCTGTGGCTGCAGTGGTGATTGTAGCACTTGGGAGGCTGAGGCAGAAGGATTGTGAGTTTCAGGCTGGCCAGGGTTATATAGAGATGCATGCTGTCTCTAAAGGAAGAGAACATAAGAGAAAGGAAAGAAATGGAAGAAGAAGAGAGAGGAGCAGAGGAAGGGAAGAGGCCTCACGTCTCACACCATAGACAAACGTTTCCCTGGGCCATTTCAGAGAGAGCTTCATCATCACATGATGAACATCCCCTAGAGAGCTTCTCTCCTCTATATGCTTTTGGAGCAGCCAAAGACCAACAGCAACAGAGTTAAGACAGGAATCCCCTAGAATAAAACTCGTCCCAAAAGCACTTCTCCTTGCAAGGCGTGGGGAAGTAAGAACTATTCTTTTCAAGCCAGCGACATTTCTGTGGTTTGTGAAAGGCTGAAGTCATTGGGATGAGTTGGACGGAAGTTTTAACCCTCTCTTCTGCCTAAATGCAACCTTCCTCATCATTCTCCTAACTCTCCAGGGACTAGAGACATGTGGCGCGCTTACTCTGACATGAAGGAGGCCAACTGGAAAAACTCAGACAAATACTTCCATGCTAGAGGGAACTATGATGCTGCCCAAAGGGGACCAGGAGGAGCCTGGGCTGCTAAAGTGATCAGGTAACAGAGGTCTCAGTGAGCAGAGCTTGACTGCTCTGGACAGTCAGGAGGTCTCTCCTCTGCATCCTGTGCACACTGCCCATTAACCGTCCTCTTTTCTGTACATAGTACTAGGAGTGGTTGGCAATGATGCTTGATACCCCACCCTCTCTCCCCTGGTGCTGCTCATTCAGCATGAGGGTGACTTCCTGGGCTGAGCAGGTGTTTATTCAGGAGGGATCAGTACCATCCTCTCCTTCCCTGGTGTTCCTGGGCTCCTCTTACAGTCATCTCTTGAAGAAGGGAGTCCAGAGGGTGGGGCCATTGCCATCATTTTGGTTACAGGTGTTCTTCTTGTCTGTCTTGTTTGCAGTGATGCCAGAGAGGGTATTCAGAGGTTCACAGGACGTGGAGCAGAGGACTCAAGAGCTGACCAGTTTGCCAATGAATGGGGTCAGAGTGGTAGAGACCCCAACCACTTCCGACCTGCTGGCCTGCCTAGTAAATACTGAGTTTTCTCTTCATGTTGTTCCCAGCCATGCAGACCCCAAGGAAAGAGGCAATTACTGACTTGAATTAGTTCCTAAACTCTGGATCCCTAAGCACCCCAAAGTGTTGAATAAATACTTGTGAAATGTAACTTGTCACTGTCATTTGAAAGAGCACAGGGCAGTCATATTGAGGCCATGGGAATGACCAAGAAACACCACTGTTTTGTTTTTTAAGAAAGATATGAAAAGATAGGAGTTGGAGTATAACTCTATATGTCCATACATGGACCAAAACATGTATTATGTATCCCCTCAAACACAGGCAGATTGCAAGAAAGCATTGTGTATGATTTCAGTTATGAAGTTAAAAACTAGATAAAAATTAACACATTCTGAGCTGAGGATATAGCCTAATAACAGAGTGATTGCCTAGCATGCATGAGGCCGTTCCTTCCAACCCCATGTCCTCCCTATAAAAAAAAAAATAAATTCTTGCTTAGCAAAATACAACTTACAAAGACTGAAGATGAAATCAAAGCCATCCTGAAATTGTTTTAAGAGATTGATGCTTCCCACAAAGAAAGCCTCAGATCTAGATGTTCCTATAGATAATGTTAACCCTTCAAAAAACCAAGTCACTCCCATTTTGTAAAATTAATTCTGGAAAGAAGACACATTCTGTAATATGTCCCTGGGATAGAAAAGCTTTGGCATCTCCCTCTCCACAACCTTCAAGAAATTATCAAATGCAAAAGCATGCTGGCTGACCTATGATGGACTGACTCCAGCCGTGACCAGCTCCAGGATCGAGGTATAGCCTGGGGCTGTTCCCTTTATACAATCCCTGAAGATTCTCCAATCTTGGAAATTGGGGTTCAGATATTTAAGATCTCCCATAAATCTGTGCAGTTGTGTGTCAGTCAGAAGTATTAAAACACCAGAAAAAGATAAAACAGTGGATATAACTGTCTCTTAAACACATGACTCCTACCCTAAGACCCATGGAGGACTGCCTCAGTGATGGAGGACTGCCTCAGTTGCCCCATGGGGGCATTTAGAGACCCTCTCTCTGAAGCACATGCACCACACTTATGTGCTCCCAAGTGCCCCGGTCCTCACAGATGTCTTCTCGTGGCAAGCACTGGGGAAGCTTCAGGAAGCTCCCCAGTCTAGTTTATAGTCTCTGGGGCTGAGATACAAGGTCAGCTGTCTAGATGCCCTGCACTTCCTCAATAAGCTAACAGTTACTATTGTAACTACACCTGGTGCAGACTCCATGTAGTTGAAAAGAGGTGGTCCATCCAAACTTATACAGGAATGTTCCCAGCGCCACTACTGACCATGAGAAAAGTGGAAGGTGACTGGTGGGTAAACACAAGGTGGCCATTGGTAGAGGGGAGGACTCCTCAGTGGATAAAAGGTGAAGCACCAAGACAGACTAAGACAGGAATGTGCCTTGGCAGCCTCTGCCCCATGAGAGAGCAAGCACAGAAGGCCACGCAATGCCCAGTCCACTCTGTGAAATGTCAGGAGGGGCAAATCCAGGGACAAATTCTTGATTGCCAGAGTTTGAGTACTTGCTGGTGTGGTATCTCCTGTGGGGCACTGAGAAGGTTCTGGAACTGGACAAAGAGGCTGAACAAAACCGAATGAAACCAAGGCTGCAGGGTAGTACACTCCCACGTGGTTGAAGTGGTAAATGTTGTGTTATATGTCAATTAGCAAAAACCCCTGCTGGGGGATGCAGTGTGGGGACAAGCTTAGGAGCCGGGGAATGAGATGACTGTTACCATAATTTTCTGGAAATCCAAAGAAATGACTGATTGTAGATTGAGGTTGTCATGGCTACTGCCCAGAACTATTGAGGATGCCATTTCATTCTCAGGGGTTTTAAACTTTCTTCTTGAATTTTGTTACAAAAGTCACTCTTTTGAGGATACATTTCTACAAGGGTTTAGTTACTTTTTTTTTCTTTCTTTTCCTTTTTTCTTTTTTCCCAGTTAGAGGACTGGGGATGGAACTCACTGTGGTGGTTTGAATGAGAATGGTCCCCATAGGCACACACATTTGAGTGTTTGGTCTCTGTCTTAGTCAGGGTTTCTATTGCTGTGAAGAGACACCATGACCACGGCAACTTTTATAAAGGAAAACAGTTAATTGAGGTGGTGACTTACAGTGCAGAGGTTCAGTCCACTATCACTATGGTGAGGAGCATGGCGGTGTGCGGGCAGACGTGTTGGCTACATTTTGATCAGAAGGCAACAGGAAGTGGACTGAATGTCACACTGAGGGAACCTTAAGCAAAGGAGACCTCAAAGACCACCCCCACAGTGACACACTTCCTCCAACAAGGCCACACCTACTTCAACAAGGTCACACCTCCCAAGAGTGCCACTCTCTATGAGCTTATGGGGGCCAATTACATTCAAACTACCGCAGCCCCCAGTTAGTAGAACTGTTTGGAGAAGTGACCTTGTTAGAGTAGGGGTGACGTTGTTAGAGGAAGTGTGTCACTGAGGGTGAGCTTTGAAGTTTCCAAAGCTCCAACAGGCTCAGTCTCACCCTCTCTGCCCGCTGCCTGCGGATCAGGATGTCAGCTTTCAGCTACTGCCCCAAGGCCTTGCCTGCTTGCCGGCTGCCATGCTTCCCGCCATGGTGGTCACAGACTAACCCTCTGCAGCTGTGAGCAAGCCCCCAGTGAAATACTTTCTTTTATGAGTTGACTTGGTCATGGTGTCTCATCAGAGCAGTAGAACAGTGACTGAGTCACTACTCACGGACTTGCACATGCTAGGCAGGTGCCTCACCACAATCCGCACCCCCAGCCCCTCCCTGGGTGTGGGGTTCTAGGCAGGGGCTCTAGAGCTGAGCACCGACCCTAACTCCATTTCTATGAGTTCTGACAGAATTATCACCACACTTGGTACTGTAGGTGTAGGTTGGGTTCCATTTCTGATGCAGTTCTCTTAAACTGGCTGGCGGTCACACCCTGCCCTGAGCTCTGGCTGTTGGGGATTGGGCGCTCCCTGGAATTTTTTTTCTAGAAGGTCATGTGAGTGGAGCCCCAGAAGTGCCTCCTCCTCTATGTGCCCATGTCCTCTTGTATGAGACATGTCCATGGTGGAAGACTCAGCAGCTTGTTTCTGGGTACCACTCCTTTTCAGGGATGCAGGGAATTGTTTCTCCATGTACCCAGTGAAGGTCACTGGGTAACTTCCATTTCTAGGAACAAAGCTGGGTTTGAATGTACATTCATTTTCAGTTCTCCAGAACCTTTTACCTCCCAGAGGCTGAGGCAGGAGGATTGCTAGAGTTTAAGGCCAGGCTGGAGTACATGTCTCAAAAAGAGAATCAGATGCTTTGTTAGGGAGGATTATGCAGGCTTGGGAGGACAGAGAGATTTATCTCTAACTCTAGAGACTCCAAAAATGCAGTGGGTTGTTCTGGCTCCTTCCAGAGGCTGTGCATACCCACCCACCCCCAGCCCTCAGAACAGAGGTCTCAACAACAGAACAGACAGGGTCACAGCCAGGAGAACCCTCGGTGCCACTGCTAGTCACACTTACTGAAGGCTAGCAGCATGAAGGCTGGGTCAGCATCCTCACTTGTGCTGACAGGTACGTCAAACGCATGACCTTCAAATCGTCTTTCATGTAGAAAGAGCTCTTCCCTGAGAATGTGGCGCATCTTAGCATTGGACAGAATCAGTCTGTGGCACTGAAAAAAAAATAGTTCCCACTCTAGTCTCTGACAGGCAGGGTGTCCCCAGCAGCAAGGACACCCTTTTCCCTGTGGCATACCAGCCACTTTGCAGACCACTTCCAGGGAGACGGAAGAGGCTGTTTGCTGTGTCCTGGTTTCTGAGAACTGGTCTTAAGTGCCCCTGCCACAGAAAGACAACCACGCTGTTACAATCCCTTGTAAGCTGCTTATAGCCTTCAGTCTTTTAGATGAACTTTCCTTACACTCACCCTGTGTTACTAGGAGTAAGCTGCCACAGTGGCACAAGGCATATTGCGTTTGAGAATTCCTTTTCATTCTCACGAGAGGCATTAAAAACCACACAGAGAGCTGGGTGGTGGTGGTGGTGGCGGTGGCAGTGGCGGCGGTGGCAGCAGTGGCTGCGGTGGCGCACGCCTTTAATCCCAGCACTCTGGAGGCAGAGGCAGGCGGATCTCTGTGAGTTCCAGGCTAGCCTGGTCTACAGAGTGAGTTCTAGGACAGCTAGAGCTACACAGGGAAATCCTGTCTCGAAAAAAAAAAACAAACCAAACCAAACCCAAACCCAACAAAACAAAAACAAAAAACAAAAACAACACTACTGATGAACGCCAGGTACAGAGGCATGAGCCTGTATCCGAGGGCTTGGGAGACATTCATGAGCGGCTGGAAAGGTCTGCTCGAGGAGCTCCTCAGGACCGCCAGGCACAGTCCCCATCACTGTGATACAGGGCTGACAGAAGCAGCCCGAGAAAGCAAGGGTCTCTTTTGGCTCGTAGTCTGAAGATATAGTCCATCATGGTGGGAGTCGGAGCTGCAGGAGGCTGAATCCCATGGTTGTGTTGGATCCAGTCAGGAAGCAGAGCAGTGAATGCTGGTGGTCAGTTCATGGTCCATTTTTCCCTCTGTATTTGGTCAGGGACCCCAGTCCATGGGATGGTGCTGGCCACATTCAGGGTGGGTCTTCCCTCCCCAATTTTAATAACCTGGAAATGCCCTCATAGACATTCCCACAGGTATGTCTCCTAGGATTATAAATCCAGTTGGGTAGAAAATAAAGATTAACCAGCACAAATCCACCCATCGTGAGCTTGAAACGTATCACCGTAGACTGTAACATTCTGCCCAGGCACTGCCGTCTCACCATCACAGTGCAACGAGGCATTCAGTCCGCCTCTAACAGCCTCCAGCGTCTTAACCTTTCCAACACTTCAAAACTTTAAGTGCAGAGTCTCTGCGAGACCTGGGCAAGCTCTTAACGTTAGCCTCTGCACATCCAAGCTAATATTTTCAGTATGTGGTGGCACAGCATCAGCATTCCGTTCAAAGGGGGGAATGTGAGCACAGCAAGGAAAGATCAGACCAAAGCAAGACCAGA